AAAGTACCCAAGTGCAGTCGGGGTCGGTTCCGTTACATCTACCATACATAAATCTTTGAACAAGCAGGGTTTCCAAGGCAGAACACCATGTGAGGACAAGAAAGTGGTCCAGGAGGCAGGCCAGGGTCATACATGGGTTATCAGAAGAGGCGCAGAGTCCGTTAGAGTAAGCTGAGATCAGAATCAAGAATCAGGCAGAAGACGGGTCCAGAAGCAAGCCCAGTCAGTGACGGGAAATCCAAAAAGTACAGGAAATCCAGGAATGAGAGCACTGAGGACCTGAACATCAACCAGCAATCTGTGGAGCCTGCTTTCTTCCTTAAAAAGGGCGTTTGGCGGCAGTGTGCATCCTTGTGTTGGTGCACAATGGGGTATACCAAATGCATACTCTTGTGCTCCCTAAGCTTTCCCATACATTCCTGAGAGCAGCTACTGTATGTGAAGTACTGGCAGTGGTGCCAGGTCTTCGTTTTGGCACACTCACACCTCTGATTCGAGTAGCATCCTGACAGGTGGAGTTTGCCCTTGGAAGATCCTGTTACTCCCTTGGACAGAAGAGAAGTGTGGAGGAGTCTGGAACCCACTGGAGAAGACCAAGACCCTCTCTCCCTGTGAGTCTTAATAAAGACTAATGTGACTGGTGCCCATCATTGTCATAACTTCCTTAACTGCTGCCATGGATCCACCCTGGGGCAATGTCAGCCCACTTCTGCAGTGGGGGTTTCCCTCTTTCCAGCCGGGGGGGGGGGGTCACTACAGCTGCACAATATTTTCAAATATCTATAGAATCTGCACTGCCTTGTCGAGGCCTTTCTGTAGAGTCAGGTCCTAACTCTAATCTTTGAGAGTTTGCATGTTAGAGCATATATTGCAATGGATAATACCCCAACTCCACACCTGAACTGCAAGGGTTAACTGCTTGTTTTGTCCAAGGGAGAGAAGAAAGGCTTTTACTCACCCGGTCCTGCACTCCACCAACAAACTGTGCTCCCCCACGATCCAGCGGTGGACTATTCCTGACATCCCCACTTCCAGAACAGGTCTATGGGCTTGATGACATCAGGAACAGTCCACCACTCATGACCACTAGACAATGGGGAGGGGGGGGGGGGCAAGAGCCAAAGGGACAGGTCTTGTGTGGGGAGGATCAGAGGAATAGGTAAGTATACTGTATCTCCTTCCTCTTCTCCCCTTGACAAAAATGAGCACTCAACCCTTACAGAGCGGGTACAGCCCCACTGCAAGGGCAAGCTTTTTTTGGCTGCAGATGGGCTTTAAAGTCTGGTATGCCTGCAGGGAGCCTACTCCTTTTTAAAGGGCAGGAGCACACCAGAAGTCATGTGTAGCACTACCCCTTTGGAGTCACTAGAGATTTGGGTCCCCCTATAGTCATGCACAGCCAGGCAACACGCATTTTCCACACAGACTTGCATCCAGGAGACAATAATCTTTCCCTGAGCTTGTTTTTTTGAGATTTTATTAAGGGAATTGGACTTGGATGGGGTAGGGGGTGTATGGGATGCCCAAAGGTATGGCAACAGAGGACAATCTTCCTGAACTATGTACAAGTCATGTTTATAGGAAAGAACAAATCTTTCTTCTTGGAGAGCTATCCAGCATCTCCTGTAGTACCACCTCAGACCCCCCCAGATACTACTCTATCCAGCTGTTCTGGGTGAATCCCTGGGCAGGGGATCCAGTGTCTGTCACTTTCAATACTAGACAGTCCCAGGTAGTAGCTAATCCAGTTTTCCACCAGAGTGCTCCTTCCCATTACACTGTTCAACAGGTAAAAAGTTTTGGGCATAAAATTAGCTAATCTTACATAATTTTGGGGTGCTGAAAACGAAAATGACCCTAAAAAATGTTGATTGGCTCTAGTTTCCATGATATATTCACCCATCTAATGACGTAAGCCATTCAAAATTATGATGCAACTTCAGCTGCATATTGCGCAATTGATACTGGTGACCAATAGAGAATGTCATGTATACTGAGATGATGCAATATTAGCCTTTAATTGCATCACTTCACTGCATAAAAGCTGCAGTGTCTGTAGCTGATTGTAGTTCCACAGCGTCTTTACATTTCGTTTTCTGCTTATATAGGCTACTCAGTAATGCCTCGAACTTGTGTGAATAAAGCAGATAATTTCTGCTATATCTGCGGTGAAATAACTTTTATCTCACAAAAAAGGAGGATAACAGGAATGATTAAGAAAGCCTACAACTTGTATTTTGGCTGCAAGATAGGAGACCAGGACAAGAGCTGGGCACCACATATATGCTGCAATTCTTGTGGGACGGCACTGGAGCAATGGTTGAATGGAAAAAAGGCATCTATGCCTTTCGCTGTGCCAATGATTTGGAGAGAGCCAACAGATCATGTTAGTAATTGTTACTTTTGTATGGTGCCTCCAACAAAAGGGCTAAATAAGAAGAAAAAGTTATCTGTGCACTATCCAAATATTCCATCGGCAATACGTCCAGTTCCTCATGGAGAGGGGCTACCAATTCCTAAAGCACCAGAATCCTTCGTGGTTGAGTCAAGTGAGGAAGAACCTGAAGCGTGTAGTCACGTGCAGTTGTAAGAGATAGCCCTTTCCTCGAATACTAGAGAAAAGCCAAGAGAAGCAAAACCGACACAAACTGAAGACAAAACTAGTGAGAATCCTAAGTATTAAAATGATTCAACTTAGCTTATGGCTATCAATTTTTCTTGGTAATCCTATGCAATATATTATGCCATTTAGGCTTTGTTATGTAGTCATATCACTTGCTTTATATTTGTGGAAAGACATCTATCTATATAATTATTGTGCATTATGTAGTCATTACGCCTATAGTAGAAAACTTTCCGTTTACAGAAAAACTAGAGCCAATTGACAAATTTCATTGTTATATTTGAACTCAGAATGTGAAATTCATTAAGAAATGGATCCTTTTGTTTCCAAAACTGGCAAAAAATAAAAATTTGTTGAACAGTGTTACTGGCCCAGGAGTTGCAGGTTTACTTTTCTCCTATGAGCTCAGGCCTCCTACTGGGCCGCTCCTTCCCCACTGCATAGATGGTCCTCGCTCTGGGGGGCAGTGAAGTCCTGAGCTTTCCTCCTTCCAAGCTTTTCTTCCTGTAGGTGAGCCCCTTCCCATCTGGGCTCCCTTCTAGGCTCCTGCTCTCCATCCCCATTTCTTCATCTTCCAGCCGAACTCTCCTGCTGCTGAGCAGGCTCTGTCACTCTTAAAGCGGAGCTCCACCCAAAAGGGGAAGTTTTGTTTTAAGTCTTTGTTCCCCCGCTCCCCATTAAGGATTGGCACCTTTGGGGAGCGGGGGGGAGTGGGTACCTGAATTTGACAGGTACCCACTCCCACTTCCGCTGCGATTGCCTAAGGTGAAGTGGAAGTTGTCCTCCCTCCCCGTAGTCTTCTGGGACACATGACAGGTGCCAGAAGGCAACGGGGCCATTCACAAAGTGCAGCACTTCTCGCACATGCGCAGTGGGCACCAAGCTGTCACAGCTGGGTGCCCACTCTGAAGATGCCGGAGCCGGGGAGAGAAGACGGCCTGTAAAACCAGCAGTGGTGAAGACACCGCCGGACCAAGGGACAGGTGAGTGTCTGCATTTTAAAAGTCAGCAGCTACAGTTTTTTGTAGCTGCTGACTTTTATTTTTTTTCCAGCTGGAACTCCTCTTTAAGGGCTGTTCTAGCCCCTTACTAAGCCTCTTGTTGAGGATAGGCCAGGATCCCTTCAGCGTGCAAAGCAGCCACTCTCACTCCCTCCCACTGCTTCTAGAATCTTCTCCAAACTCTAGAGCAGGAGGAAGTTCCAGAGAGCTGATCTGCAGAGCCTCTCAGCCCTGATCGAAATCTGACCCCCTGACTATTACACCTAGGCTGCTACTCAGCCCTTCTAAGGTAGCTAGATAGAGATAAAGTTGTAATTTTCATTTAGAAGGGTGTTATACCAGTACAATGGCAGCTGAAGGCATCCAATGTGTCCCCCAGGGGCAGACTGACCATTTGGAAACTCGGGCACTGCCCGAGGGCCCGGGGTCAGTAGGGGGCCCCATGAGATGCCCCTGGTACCTTTTTCATAGACTTTTTTGAGCTTGGGCAAGGACACAGGGGCCCAATAATCCCCTATTGCCCGGGGTCCCCATGAGTTGTCAGTCCACCCCTGGTGTCCCCACACCAATTCCAGAAAGCTAAACAAAAATGGCAACCAGAGGTATAACTAGCTTGGAAGGGTGCACACAGAAGGGTTTTGTACAGAACAAACAAAATGAGTTTTCACAGAAAAATTACCATATTTTTCGCTCCATAAGACGCACTTTTTTCCCCCCCAAAAAGGGGGGAAAATGTCAGTGCGTCTTATGGAGCGAATATGGAGCGGCCGTGTCACAATACCGGGCCGGCCGCTCAGCTCTGCAGCGGGACCTTATGGAGATGACTGCTGACCTTTGGGGAGGTGGGGAGCGGGTACCTGAATTTGACAGATACCCGCTCTTACTTCTTTTTGTTCTTTGATCTTACCTGTTCCTCTATCCAGCGGCGCGCTGTCTTCCGGCTTCTGTAGTGTGGGCATGACAGCCTCGTGCCAAGTGCGCATGCGCAAGAAGCGGTGCTTTTTGTGAATGGTAAGGCGGTACCTGGGACACATGACAGATCCCAGAAGCCGCCGGACCAATCACAAAGCGCAAGTGCTTCTCGCTCATGTGCACTGGGCACCCGGCTGTCATGCCGAGCGCCATTACAGAAGCCAGGAAGACAGCGCGCGGCTGGATCGAGGAACAGGTAAGATCAAACAAAAAGTCTGCGGAAGTAAGAGCGGGTACCTGTCAAATTCAGGTACCAGCTCCCCACCACCCCAAAGGTCAGCAGTCATCTGTACTGTCCGCAGTCTCTGGTCATCCCTATGCTGTCCGCAGTCTCTGGTCATCCCTGTGCTGTCCGCAGTCTCTGGTCATCCCTGTGCTGTCCGCAGTCTCTGGTCATCCCGGTGCTGTCCGCAGTCTCTGGTCATCCCGGTGCTGTCCGCAGTCTCTGGTCATCCCTGTGCTGTCCGCAGTCTCTGGTCATCCCTGTGCTGTCCGCAGTCTCTGGCCATCTCCTGTGCTGTCCGCAGTCTCTGGTCATCTCCTGTACTGTGTCCGCAGTCTCTGGTCATGTCCTGTACTGTGTCCGCAGTCTCTGGTCATCCCTGTGCTGTCCGCAGTCTCTGGTCATCTCCTGTACTGTGTCCGCAGTCTCTGGTCATCCCTGTGCTGTCCGCAGTCTCTTGTCATCTTCTGTACTATGTCCGCAGTCTCTGGTCATCTCCTGTACTGTGTCCGCAGTCTCTGGTCATCCCCTGTACTGTCCGCAGTCTCTGGTCATCTCCTGTACTGTGTCCGCAGTCTCTGGTCATCTCCTGTACTATGTCCGCAGTCTCTGGTCATCTCCTGTACTGTGTCTGCAGTCTCTGGTCATCCCTGTACTATGTCCGCAGTCTCTGGTCATCTCCTGTACTGTGTCCGCAGTCTCTGGTCATCTCCTGTACTGTGTCCGCAGTCTCTGGTCATCTCCTGTACTGTGTCTGCAGTCTCTGGTCATCTCCTGTACTATGTCCGCAGTCTCTGGTCATCTCCTGTACTGTGTCCGCAGTCTCTGGTCATCTCCTGTACTATCTCTGCAGTCTCTGGTCATCTCCTGTACTGTGTCCGCAGTCTCTGGTCATCTCCTGTACTATGTCCGCAGTCTCTGGTCATCTCCTGTACTATGTCCGCAGTCTCTGGTCATCCCCTGTACTGTGTCTGCAGTCTCTGGTCATCCCCTGTACTGTGTCTGCAGTCTCTGGTCATCTCCTGTACTGTGTCCGCAGTCTCTGGTCATCCCTGTGCTGTCCGCAGTCTCTGGTCATCTCCTGTACTGTGTCCGCAGTCTCTGGTCATCCCTGTGCTGTCCGCAGTCTCTTGTCATCTTCTGTACTATGTCCGCAGTCTCTGGTCATCTCCTGTACTGTGTCCGCAGTCTCTGGTCATCCCCTGTACTGTCCGCAGTCTCTGGTCATCTCCTGTACTGTGTCCGCAGTCTCTGGTCATCTCCTGTACTATGTCCGCAGTCTCTGGTCATCTCCTGTACTGTGTCTGCAGTCTCTGGTCATCCCTGTACTATGTCCGCAGTCTCTGGTCATCTCCTGTACTGTGTCCGCAGTCTCTGGTCATCTCCTGTACTGTGTCCGCAGTCTCTGGTCATCTCCTGTACTGTGTCTGCAGTCTCTGGTCATCTCCTGTACTATGTCCACAGTCTCTGGTCATCTCCTGTACTGTGTCCGCAGTCTCTGGTCATCTCCTGTACTATCTCTGCAGTCTCTGGTCATCTCCTGTACTGTGTCCGCAGTCTCTGGTCATCTCCTGTACTATGTCCGCAGTCTCTGGTCATCTCCTGTACTATGTCCGCAGTCTCTGGTCATCCCCTGTACTGTGTCTGCAGTCTCTGGTCATCCCCTGTACTGTGTCTGCAGTCTCTGGTCATCTCCTGTACTGTGTCCGCAGTCTCTGTCATCCCTGTGCTGTCCGCAGTCTCTGGTCATCTCCTGTACTGTGTCTGCAGTCCATTAGTTCAGAAATTTTTTTTTTTCCTGTTTTCTGCCTCTAAAACCTAGGTGCGTCTTATGGAGCGAAAAATACGGTACCAGCTAACCAAAAAAAAAAAGCATACTGTTTAACAATTGACTTTAAAAGCAGATACCGGTGCAAAGCATCCCCACCCCTCCCCCCCCACACATACATACACACACCGCAGGCGTACATTTTGCCCAATTTGCAGAGTTCAGTTTTAGGAGTAGAGATTTAAAAGATTGCAAATTATATTGGATCTCTTGAATTATGAAAGCCTACAATTGTTGGCTCAGGATGACTCAGTGTATACGAACGGTTTTGCTTGATCATCTTATGTTTAGACGCAATTTGGTGCATTAAATGTCTGGAATCGATCGGTTTCCTCTTGGCAGCCGCTTTTGGTCTGAAGACAAAGAGGAAATGTAAATATGAGGAGTGTAATCCTGGTGAATTTCTATTAATATGGTTCAGGAAGGAACATTTCCTTTTCATGTGGGCAATCATTTTGAAAGTCTTCTGTAGAGGAGATATTTATAAATGATAGACCTGTCTGCTTCCTGGCTTCAGCAGGATTGCATTTCGGGTCCTTGTATTATTTTCTGGTTGTGAAATAAAATTAGAGGCATTTCCCACATAGGCCTCCATAATGAGCTGAGGAATTAGATAGAACTAGAATATTCTTTGGCTGCAACCTGGCATCTGCCCTCATAAAAGCTAAATATTCTGTCCCTGGCTCAAAGCAAGCTTAAAAAGTAATTCTGTGGCAGCACTCAAATATTGCAGTTTCCCTTTAAACGTTAACATTTCTAACAGCCTCTGTTTGCAAAAGCAAAGTTATCAGCTCACTTGCTGTAAGGGAATTCCTGTACGACAACTGGCTAATGGAAATGAGCATAGGCTCACGAATGTGCGCACACGGGTGCACACACCCGGGAGCATGCCCACTGTTTCTAGCGCCAGACAGACTATTTAAAGGAGGCTCTTACTCTCTGTCAGTGCTGATAGGTCTTCAGCTAACTTCCTGTGTCCTGTTGTATCCTGTGTGTATCAGTTACTGACCCGGCTTGCCATTGACCTGCTCTTGGATCCTGTCTATGCTTCTGCTCATCGGTTTCTGATCCTGGCTTCCTCCTGACCTCGTCCCTGTCTGATGTTCCAGTACCTCATTGCCTGCTCATTGCTGACCCTGGCTATTACTCTGACTATGCTTCCGGCTCCAGTTTGGCTCTACAGTCCTGCCGAGTGCCTGTCCTGGCTGTCATTACATCAGCTCCAGTTGTCACGGTGTGTTCCGGCATCCCGCTTATCAGAAGTTTCGGCAAGCCACGTACCCAGATCTTGCAGTTCCAGTGGAGTGCTTCCTTAACTTCAGCTGGCCGTTCCGGTATCTCCACTGTTCCTGACTGGATGCCCCGTCTGATTTACCGAGGTTACATCACCAGCCGCAAGTTCCACAATCATTATCCACAGGCACTCATGTTCCTCCTGACCCTCGGCACCATCTGTTTCACCTTCAGTGGGCCTGGGTTGGAGATACAAGAGAGGCTCACCTCGTCAATTCAGATTTCTATCAGATACATGACACTTCCCCCCTCCCTTATTTCCTGTGAAGTAATGTCTTCCAGTCTGTAGCTGGTATTCTTATCTGTAGCTGGTACTCCAGGCCATATACTGCACAGTTTAGAAAGTCTTTTGAATGTACAGAAAGTGAAAGAGGAAATATATGCATTGTGATGTACTTGTTGGTATATACACCATGTAAAAGGCTTTTGAAGGCACTTAGGTTTGCAGACATGAGTCTGGCTAGGTCAAACCAGCTGGTGAATTAAAGGTTTGTTTTCCTCAAGTTCGTGTCAGGAGTTTTACCTGGTATTCTCAAAGTTGCTACTACAATTCCACTTTTGTACAGAATAAAAAAAATCCAGTCTGTGTGATCTATGCAGGGATTCCAACCTTTTGTTGCTCTGTAGAAATAGCTATTTGGGACCAAGGATGCCTTGCACTTGGCCATAGTGAGCAGCCGGGTCTCCCAACAAGTTAGACCAACCTTCCGGACAGGCGTTCGGCTTAACCCTACTGTCCTCTGCTATGTGAGGATGGTGGCCAGAGATTAGACTCCTCCTCAATCCCAGGGGTATCCACATCCTGGCCCTCATTCCTCCTTGAGCTTGACAGCCGGATTTACATCTCTAGTATGCTCCCAGGTTTGACTGTGGTTTATAGACAAATTCACGCAGGCCGAAGTTGCAGGTTAACCTTCTTGACAGCATCGATTCAAGTTGCAGCATAACAGTGTTGGGTCCAAGACCCCAAAACTGTACTCAGTACATGGGAGGTAATTGATCCCTTCGTATATGGAAGATGCTTGCTCCTCAGCTCAGTAGAGTGATTGGACTACACTCTCTCCAGCTATTATCGGTCATAACTTCCTTCCCTGTAATTGGGGGGTAGGGGGGACCAAGGAGCAAAACCAAATCTTGGCAGTCTCGCTTCCAGCTCCAGAGTTTCCCCAATGATCCTGACAAGTGATCCGCAACTAAGCCCTGCTCTCCCCCAGTAGGGGGGGAGAGCAAGAGAACAACAGCCTGACCTTCCTTCCTGCTCTCTTCTCCCAGTGTCCACCTGACCCCCCCCCCCCCCCTGCCTTTATAGGCACTCCCAGCCTTCTCCCAGAGGGAGGAGACACTGTTAAAGGGGACCTACTCCGCCCTACCCTTTTAACATTTTGTATCGCCATGTCCTGAGCAGACTGATTCTGAATGGGAGCTGGTTCATTATAATCACCTGGCGCACTCTCAGTATCCCAATGAGAAAAGCTGCAGGGTCTGCATCCCTTTATTTAACTCTTGGGAAGTATTTAATCAAAACCGAAATTCCTATTGCAGGGGTGCCTAAAATGAAATTTATGTTGCAGGAGATGCCTAAAATCTGACTTGTATCTTAGTGCAGACTTCTGGGAAAATCAGCGAGCCAATCACACAAGCAGGAAATTACATTTCTAAGGGGGGGGGGGAGCGTCCTGTATACCATCTGTGTACAGAGCGCCTCCAGGTGGCCATATTGTGTTGAATTTTTGGAAAAAAATGACTTTGGCTGCAGATTGAAGAGGAAAGGTCATTTTACTGTCACTAAATTACAACATGGCTTGTTACATAGTTAGTCTGGCTGAAAAAAGACAAAACTTCATTCAGTTACAGAATTGTGTAGGAATTGTGTAAGATATATTATTTTTTGCTTGCCATACTTTTTTTTCTGTCTTTTTACAAAAGTGGAGTTACCTGTTAAGTGTATGACCCAAAGGCAGCACATCTCTGGCAAGGTGAGACAATGTGGGAGGCAGTAGGAAATAATCTGCCTTTTTAACCCCCCTAACTGTCTGATTATGTCAGTGTTTCTGTGCTCAAAGCGGTACATTTTTTTGCATGGAAATATGTATTTTTTGTTATTGTCGGCTGTAATTTTTAGGAATAACTCCCTGAAATCTGTCCGGACAAGAGTCTAGTAAACATCCCGGGGAGGATAAAATTTGAAACATGAAATCATAAATTATAATTTAATAAATAATCATAAAAAATAATAATATAATAATAATAAATGTAATGCAATAATATAATCAAACCAAAAACACTGAAATGTGAAATATAGCGCCAAGTTGGCCATCGCTGAGCTCAGTCGCAGAATCGTTTTCAGTGTCTGATGAGGAATTTCCCCCACCAATCATTATCACTCAATTCTGCAAGTGGTTCTGATTTACTATCGCTGTTCTCTAGCCGGTCTAAAACCGCGTCTGACCTAAAGGGACGCTTTTTGGACGCCATGGACGTTTCTCAGTTTCCTTGCAGAAAGAACAGTAAAAATGCAGGCAGGGCGCCGGACAAAGCACTCGGGACAAAATGTATGTGAAATGGTTTGATACAGGAATGTTATACGATGTGATTTTAGTGGATTTAGTGAATGTCAGTTTTACAATTTTCAAATTTCCCGCCAGTTCCGTCCCCCGTACGTCCCGACGTCGCAGGGGGCGGAACCCGGAAGACAGATGCCGGCATCGGCCGGAGGACATTACTGGGGACACTGCAGGGGGGACATCGCGGGAGCGCAGGACAAGGTAAGTGAAGAAGA